TTGCTGTAGCATCTTCAAGGGCTATTTCTGGGTTTTACTCAAACACAAGCTAAGTGTTGTGGTACCCTTGTTGAGCTTCTGTTGTGCCGTCTGTTGTGCGTCCTGTACTCCGCCGTAGTCTCATTGACGGGGCTGTGCACAGGGTACGCATGACTGTGGGATCAGAGGGCTGAGTAACCCCTGCACGGGGCCATTGCTGTGGTATTGGAGGTCTGTTTGGGGACTGGAGTGTTGCATTCCAACTGTGGTTTTGACCATCTTCTGTTGCGTTTCCTGACCATCATTGCGGGGCCCTCAAGAGTGGAAGACTTCAAGGCAGTCTCCCACGAGTCTGAGCGCACCCCTCCAGTATCTGAGAGTCTTAATGTTTCTTTCACTGTAATTCTTACTTTCAGTCTAGTCCTTTGGTTCCGAGAGAAAGGCGACAGGCGGGTTTGAAACCTGTAATCCGCGCCAAGGCCTCTCTGGGAGGTTCGCCCCACCGATTGCGGGAGCTCTGCCGGAACCCAGATGAGGTTCTGGAGGTAGGGAACTTCAGGTATAACTTTCGTCTAACGCGTGTGATCCCTTCCCTTAGTTACACTATCCCTTTGGTTTATCTGGGAATATAACTTTGGAAGATTATTACTTTTTTTTTTTTGTTATATATGTTAGGACATGCTCTGTGAAAGGTTAAATAAACAAGTATATGTGAAAAGTCAGATAGTATTACTTTGAGTAAGTTCAGAAAGAATGAATTAGGGGAAGGTGGGATGAAGATCTTTTGCATGCGTTTGACTGGGTCAACCCAAGGCTGAATCCCTCTAGGTTGAGTGGGTTCAGTGCTGTGTTTTATTTATGTTTGCTAGGCTGATGGCATGACCTTTTTGGACTGGGTCTATCCTAAGTTGGACGGACCAGTCGCTGTTTCTTTTCTGGGGTTTCTGAGCAGGAGGACGGGCACCCTAAGTTGGGAAGGCTCAGAATCCTGATGTTTCTTTTTTTTGGGATGCTGAAAGCAGAACTGAGGATATTCTAAGTTGCGTATACCCGGTTCTGTGTGTGTTTCTTCTGAGGGGAACAAAGACATAAAACTAAGTGTACCCCTTAGTTGGGGCGGCTTAACCATAAGCCATGAACTTAATGGTCAACCAGAGTATAAATTTGATACATATTATACGAACTTATATCATCTGACAGACCGCGCGCCCTAAGTTGGGAAAACAAGTCAGTAAGTCAGGTAGAACAAAATGAGACGAGAGACAATTGAAGAATATAAAGTGAAGGTAACCCGGGCAGACTGAGCGTACCCTTAATTTAGGGCGGTTCAGTCTTATGCTCGTGATAATATAAAGGAGCAGAGAGTTAGTAGAAATCTTCTTTTATTTTCCCTTTTAAACACAAGGCAGGGTTGGATGTYTCCCTAAGTTGGGTAGGTCTGATCATCTGCCTAAGAMGAAARAAAATWATTAAGTTCGTACAAAAATATTYGTGRTTGTTTGAACTGTCGTTGCAGAGGYTAAGCGTACCCTTAAGTTAGGGCGGCTTAGTCATACGTCATTTGTACTTTGTTCAGGCAGATCAGGCGTACCCTTAAGTTAGGGCAGTCTGGTCACTTTTGCCTTATTGTAACTTAAACTGTTTAGGCTAACTAGGCGTACCCCTAAGTTGGGGCGGCCTAGCAATATGCTCTTGTCATTGATGTTATGTAGGTTGGACGTACCCTTAAGTTAGGGCGGTCCGACCTTTTGTCGTTCGTACTTGTTTTAGGCAGGTTAGGCACACCCCTAAGTTGGGGCAGCCTAATCCTATGCCCTACGTAACTTTGTCTAGAGCTGACTAGGCATACCCTTAAGTTAGGGTAATTTAGTTTTATGCTTCATGTCGTCAGTTAAGCAGAAGCCAGACGTACCCTTAAGTTAGCGCGGTCTGGTCATATGTTTTATGACTAGAGTCGATGCTGTGTTGGACATACCCTTAAGTTAGGGTAGTCCAGTTGTGCGTACTTTTACTTGTTTATTTAGGCAGGTTGGACAGACCCTTAGGTTATGGCATTGTCTGATCATATGCCATAAGCAAGGGGGACATACAAAGAGAGAAGAACTGAGTGATCTAACGAACTACTTGCGTTAAACTGATGTGGGATTGTGAGAGATGTTTGTTTATGCATGTTGGTGGACTCTCACTGTGGGGCGTCTTTTCGATATGTTAGCCGCTTAGATGCTCGCCGAGTGCTGGAGCCATAGGTAGATGAGATGGATGATGAGAGGGAGAGCTAGGGATAAAGATAGGACTGACCTTACTTGAAGTCAGAGTTGACGGTAGCTCACGATACCATTTTCTGAAAGGAGGTCGTGTAAACTATCTTCAATCCTAACTATCAAGCAAGTGTCAGAAGTTCGTCCCAAGTATGGCTTTGCATTGTCTTTCTGTTTTCAGCTTTGTATAAATTTTGGCAGCCTCCTGTTCCTACGGAAAGCGCTGTCGAAATTTCTACAGATCTGAAAGACTTAGTCATTTTTAGACTCTTAAAAATTGTGAGAAGGCACTTTTGCTAAGGGAAGCGCTGCCGAAATTTCGTAGAATTTGAGGAGTTAGAATATTTTTAGCTAGGAGTTACTTGGCAAATCCAATCTGAAGAGAGGAGATGCTCAGTGACTTGGTACTAGTACGGGGAACTGACAATGAGATTAGTAGAGGAGATAGGTTACGAATTGGGAAGCACTCTTCTTTTGGCATGGACATATTAGTGGTTTTTTTTTTGTCTGTACTGTAATGCAGGTTTCCGTATTTCGCTTGAAGGCTTGACTGGTTCGGCCTGATCCTTTGAAAGATCACTGTTTTGTTATCACTGATAATAAGTCGGTTGCCGATTCGTCGGTTTACGACTCGACTCTCCTGGTTTTTTTGCCTCTCAACCTAAGGCATTGACTCTTGCTGGGTTTCTATGTTTTCTTGGGTTTTCACCCAGATTCTTTATAAATGGTCATTTCTTAAAGACTGAGTACCTTTGTTAAGGAATGGTGGGAAAAAGGATTGAGCTTGTGTGCATAAGGCATGGTGTGAGCTGCAGAAGGCTGAAAAGTTGACTCTTTTAGTGTGTGCGATGTCATTTGAATGCTGTGTGTATAATCGCAGTTATGTGTGGAGAAATCTCGATTGAGTCTTGGTGAATGTTTTTTTTTTAATCCAGATGGGCAAACCACACAACTGTCGTGAGAGTGAACTACCACACAACTCTTTATTTTGATTGTGATTGCCTTTTTCTTTGTCCTGATATTGTGAGAGTTAACGTAGGCATACGGGGCTATGCGACCATATGCCCACATCGTCCTTCTCCTCGTTGGTTTAATTGATCGGACATTAGTYCGGAGCCTAGAATTCGAGGTCCTTCTCYAGGACATCCCASGTCCCTCTTCTTTCTTTAAGGCGGTGTGTCCTACCAAATGAGCACTCRYACCTTTTTTGKGGGGGGCARACTGGGACTCCTTCACCTTTAAAAAAAAACTTATCTGTGTTTTCTTCTGATAACGTTATTGTTTTCTTTCTTCTCCTTGTTTTAATTTTATTTTGGTGGAACGATAAAGTTTCGAGCGGAAGGATTAGCGTGTCGCTGGTGGTGCGCCGGACAACTCACCACCGCTCCGAACTCCTTCCTGCCCTAGGGACCATCTTACCCTGCACCCTTTGGGACACCTCAGGGTGCAGAAGATGGTAAGGCCCTCAGGTCACCTTTGCACTCGCTAAAGGTTTTCCCCCTTCAGCGCGCGCTTCAGCCAACGCCCGAGCGTCGAGAACGACCCCATGGATCAGATAAGGCCACTATCTTTTAAATCCTCCACTACGCTACATTGTGCCATTTTGTATGTATCGGGATGTATATTGCTTGTTGATGCTTCGTTGACATTGCATTGTCCATTCCAGTCCTTTTCATCACTTTGCGGATCCTTGGCTCCATACACATTGCCCAACTGGACATGTGTCACACATCCTGGCGCTACACCTCATTCACCACATCTGCCTGTCTCCGCCTACTTGAGTCCTGACCGTCTCCTGCACGGCCCTGCTGTGGCCGAGAGAGATTCGGTCTGTTGTGGGCCTTGCCGAGGTCTCAGCTGATTTCTCAAAGTCTGCGGCTATGGCCACCAGCAACATTGACAAGCAGGTCTCTCTCTCTCTCTCTCTCTCTCTCTCTCTCTCT